GATACAGGATTTGTTCAGACTGCTGTCATTCTGATACAATCTGTAGAGCTCACAGTTAAGTTTTCACCTCATGAAAAACAAGATGTCAGTTAACACAGTTTCAGAACATGACCTCGTCTCTTGTCAAGCAGTGTGTAACACCATCATGAACCTATTTTTGTCAGGTTGCCATGGCTGAACTGTATGAAAAATGCAAGGCGCAGAGCGAATATTGTGCAGCTGCAGCAGACTTGTGATCCATCTGCACAACGGAGCCCTATATAAGTCTTACTATCAACTTTATTAATGAGGACTTTTGAAAACAGCATCTATCAGTAAGAACATCGCAAAAAAAGAAAAAACATGAGAAAGTGTTGGCGGCTTGGAGCCTGTAAGTGAGACATCAAGTCTGTGTTGCAACAGACTGGGGCCAGAATAGAGTGCTTTGGCCCCAGACTGCAGATGAAAAGTTATAGGAAACAAAACAAACAAACAAAAAAAACTTGTGTACTAATGAAATAGTATAAACATAGAATGTACATTGCTCCCCTGTCGGCACTAGTCTTGCAGAGCCTTTGCAAACAATAAATGCCTCTGGTTGTTTCTTGTAGCCCTCCAGCGGGCTTTTTGCACCTGTTTCTGCAACTCTTCTGCTGCTATGCATTAAGGCTCTATCATGATTGCAAGAGTCCTTCTTGTGGTGGCAGATTTCAGCTCTCTCTGAAGGTTTTCAGTGGGACTCAGGACTCATTGCTGGTTGGTGTGAAATAGTCTGCCTTTTCCTTTTCAATCATTCTTTTGTGTTGCTGATGTGTATTTTGGGTAGTTGTAATACTGAAACAGCCAAAACCTTCACCTCAAACTTGCTTTCCTGACACTGGAGGACTAATTGATGCACTCATCAGTTTACAAAGGCATGCTGGAGCATTCTCAGAGGGATCTATGTTGGTTTCATCTGCCCAAAATAAATATTCCAGATAGACTGTGAAAGTTTTTGCAAACATTAGACTTGCATTTTTGTGCTTTTATTTTAATAGTGGTGTCCTTCTTGGCCGTGGCCTTAGGAGTCCTTCTTGGTCAATTTGCGGTGTACGAAACCACCGCTCCAGATTGCTCCAGGTCGGCCTGAAGCTCTTGTGACACCTTGCGAGGCGTTTTTTCCACAGTTTGCACCTTCTCAGACTTCTCTCACTGAGGTTCTTTGTCGTACCATGTCCAACAAGTGCTTTACCAGTTTTATTAGAGAGAAACGTCATGATTTGATGATATACAATCTGTGGGAACAGGAATTTTGTAGCTTCTGTAACAGTTTTGTATGTTTTTTAGATAATAGTTAATATTATTATAGACAGCTCTCTTGTCTTGTCCATTGTGAAAGAAAAAAAAAAAAGAAAAACAAACATTAGGCCCCCTGCTGTGCAGTAATAACATCATTCATTGGTTAATTCATGTTATGTAGCCTTGGAAAAATTAGCACATGTCGTCTTATTTGTTTTTTTATTTTGTTTTAAGTACTTGCTTTTAATTTATCACAAGGGAACAGATTTTGTTCAGCGTACATTTTATGTCTGTATTATTTATTTATTTACTGTATGAAAGNATTTTTTCAAGGTGGCAGGAATCTTCAGAAATCGCATCTTACTCCACATACTAGTCCGTCTTTTTTGGGATAGCAGTAAGGCTTACACTTAAGTTCACGCTTCTGTCTGCTGTTCACCAGCATCTGTGGGAAAGAGGAGTGTCATGAGTGCAGTGTTCATCTCCAGTATCATCACCCACTCTGTTCATTCTCTCTGCTTATGTCAAGTGCATCAGGTCACTTTTGAGGAAACACATATTTGAATCTGCTCAATCATTCATTCAGTTAACTTCACAAACCTTCAGTGATTCCGCAAAGTCCGCTTCATTGTCAAAGTCCACTGGTTCCTCCAGCACTTGCTCCTGTCAATGAATTGGTCAGTTGCAGTAAGAACCACAGTTTAGCATTTTGTCATAGCTAATAGGAGTTTAGGTCATTACTTACTGTGATGACTGGGACTGCAGAGCTCTCCTGGATACAGATAAATGTGAGCACGACGGCTACTGCAACTGCAATACTGAATGTCTTCATCTTCACAGGGTTTTTAATCGATAGATTTACTCTGTTTTGGTGTCTCTTGTCAGCTCTTTCCAGTTCTCGCTGTCTGATGGTTGAATGTGAAAAATGTGCTGGTATTTATATTCACCTGGGCTGCTGTTGCCTCATCACTGACAGTATGTTTTTTGTAGGAATGGATTTTCCATCTCATCGTGTGATGTTGGGAAATGGAGTGGGAATTACCAAAGACTGGAGAATCCTGAATTTTTCAAGTGACCCATTCAATCATTCGCTCCTTTCTTCCTTTAAAAGAAAACACCTACATCATACAGTTCATTCTTTATCGTTACCTTTTTCTTTTATTTGTAAATTACCTTTTTTAAATATGTAATAAGCAGCATCTCAACTTATTTGCAAAAGTTGTGATTTGCTTATCGTACCACTTAACATTAAACGGTGTTGCATCAATGTCATCATAAAGATATCATGTGCAACTAAGAGCCAAGGCAAAAATATAGTCAGGTTTTTTTTTTAAAGCCATAAGCTTCAAAGTGAACTACCAGTAAAACATGACGTAGTATTACAAAAGGGAACGTATGTACAGTTCTGGTCAGTGCTTAGTTCAGAACGTCAAAAAAACAGCAACAACAAAAAACAACTTTCATACAGTAAATAAATAAATAATACAGACAGAAGACAGGATTTGGGCTGCAAGGTGGTGCAGTTG